TTGGGCTGTTGGGTAGAGCTATGGTCGTGGAAACACGGCGGAAGTACCGGTTCAGCCTCGAGCTGGAGGGCAAATAATCAGATCCTTGGCTCACGTGGTGAGTCTGTTAGCGCTCTAGGAGCGGTGTGGAGGTGGGAAAAAATTCAAAACCTCTCAGGAGGGATGGATGGGTTGCACTCCAAATTCCAAATTCAAAATCCCTCCTTAGAGGTTCTGGTGGCCACCAGTTTTGCTGTTTCTATTTTACCGTCATTTAAATACACAAGTTTTATTTACATAAACATGATTGCCAGTTTCCACTTGGTTGCTTTTCTCGTGCATGAATATTTTACACCTGAATGGCAGAGACGCATGCGTGATATTACACGCAAGGTAGTTGCTGCCATGGAAGAGATTGATTAGTCTTGGACGGGCTTTTGTTTCAATTTTGGTTGCCATGAAATCACTCGGCCTCTTATTTTTTTGCTTCAAAAAATGTATGTGCGCCTTAAAATGACATTTCAAAAAAAATAAAGTGCTCTTTTGATAGTGAACACGAACATTTCATACTCATTTTGACAGAAGAACATTGGCTGCTTATTTTAAAAGGGTCTTGGATGTTTCTTGTGGGTCTAAACTTTGCATTATTTCAACCAATGACATTTCCAACATAGATACCGTCTGTTGACAGTGGGTCTCTTTCTGTATTGAAGTTTCTACTAAGCCCCAGTAAGGCTCTTCTTTCCTCGCCCGTCTCGCTCTTTTGTTTTTCATGTGGCGTTGAGGAATCCACGTCTACCACAGCCCATTTTACCAATGACCAGCAAACCTTCAATTACTTTTTTTTCTTCGTCAAGTCCGAAAGCGAAACATACCACAGCGATTGTTATCCTCGCTGCCAAAAGCCTGCCCCAAAGGCGGCAAAACTTCTTAAAAGTCTGTTTGAATCTTCCAGCTTTTCCAAATGCGTGTATGTTTCTTGTTCAAGCTCTTCCAACCGGTTGTACATTTTTTCTTGTTCTTCTTCAAGCCCTTCTAACCGGGTCGACATTTCGTCTTCAAGCTCTTCAAAACAGCGGTAGCATAAATTGTTAGAATTTGTTCCCTCTACCATTTTCGTTGTATCACTTAATATTTAATTACAGATTTTACACTGGAACGGTGTTTAGCACAGTTTGAAATCATAATACATGTTACTATTTTCTGATTTTCTCATTCCAGTGTTATATATATAATTCGTGCGCTGTCTGTTTTGCAATGTGTATGTTAGCGAAGACCGCGTCCACATGAACATTATTGCCCCGTTTTTATCTTTCAGTTTCAACACGACTGATGGTCCGTATTTATTGTGTCCGTGATCTTGTACTTCATGCACCTTGTATATACCTGGCTGTAATACGCCATTTGATGACTTCTTCTCACTCTTGGAGGTCTTCTTCTGCTGGCCAGAAGAAACTATCTTTTTAGTGGTGTGTCAACAATCTCGCGCCCGCGTTACCATTTCTTTGTTTGTTGGTCACACAGCCACTCAACTGGTTATCATGTGACCTGGCGTCAGTTGAAAATGCCTCATACATGCAACATATAAACATTGCAAGCGATGTTTCCATTTCAGCCCATTTTTTTATTGAGATAGGTTAAATTAAGGTAAATCACTCCAAGTATTTCGTCTTCTATGTACTCCACTAGTTTTCTCAAAGATTACTCTCGATGCTGATTTATTATCTGATATTTCATTGCGTGTGTTGTCTGTAGTTGCCAACTGCTAAATGTACGATTTCTTATTCAAAATGAACATCTGCTTAAAATGCTCATTTGCAGCCTGATACGTATTTTCATTTACACTAACTGATCTTAGAGACCTAAAGACTATTTTGTGAAGATAAGACCCCCGGGCAAACATTTCTGGATCAATTTTGGAGATAGTGATCCCGGCATGAAAGGTCAAAATGTCAGGTGATTAGCTCAAGTGCCTAGTCTTCGAGATGCTCTCAATTTTTGGTTTTATTTACCCAAGCTAGATTTGCGATAAAAACGTATTTTAAGGGATACTTTTAACTAGAAAAATAGTTTGGGCAGGTAAATCCATGTACCAGATTAACTTTCTGGTCCACGAAATTGACCTAAATTTTGATGTGGCGCAGCATCATTAGAGCGTATAGTTTTAAAAATTTGCTTAAAATTCAGGTTTAAATTTTATGCTGATCTGACAACGTTGAATAACTGCTAAAAGATGATATTTTAGTACTATGGGTTAGCTTTTCCAGTTACACTTATTATTTTAGCTAGCTAGCGCTCACAAAAAGTGTAATTTTGGGGTCAAGTTTTGCTCTTTTCAGGGCAAAATATGTAAGGCTGTCTCCACAAGAAAAACAAAAATCCAAACAACCTCAAAGGTACAGTTTTGATAGAAATAAGTTAGTAAAAACCTTCTTCCTAACAAAGTTTCAGAAAATCTAATTTTTCTATCCTGCATAGGTATAGGTGACCATTAGAGAAATCTGTTCTTGAGTTGTGTGTATAACTGTCATGATCAATCATGTCTTCATCTCTTTCTCCGCAGTTCACACATAATTATAATGTTTCATATATAATTTCACTTGTATCTTCACCATCTACGGGTATATTATGAACTCACAACACGACCAGCTCCCAGCTAGCTTGATAGTTCAATTGCTAGATCACTTTACCAGCATCACACAGGTCATGGGTTTGAATCCCGTTCAAGCCAGCCTGAAGTTTTTCAGGCTTTAATTTCAAAGCTGCTTAAAGACTCTGTCGGGCAGAATGCTCTGTGAGCGTTTGTTTTGATTTTGTCGCTGAAGAAAAGCGTTTTAAAAATCAGAAGGATTTGGGTCATTTTGTGGTCTAGAGTACAATTTAGTGGTAAAAACTGATAGATGTTTGCTTTAGTCGCAATTTGGCTCAGAACTACTGTATTTTGAAATTCTGACTTTGCGTCATGAGGTGACAAATGTCAGCTATAAGTTCCTGCCACCGCACACGTCATGCAGAGACTTGAAACAATTCCATGCAGCAAATTTGCTTTTTATTTGCTTTCAGAAGCATACATACAGAATGTTATAACAGTACTTACTATATGCTTAGCATACTGTCTTGGTCACGATGTAGAATAAGAGTAACAATTATTATTTTTATCATGATTTTTTTCTTGACAATTTCATACCGTGCTATGGAATCCATACAGAGTTTTTATTGACAACCGGTCAAGTGCGGATACTAAAACATTTTCAGTTTGCTCTTTTTGGCAATAAAATGTTTTCTTCACCAGGAGTAAAATGCAGTAGAGAATGTACTCTTCATCAAAATAAATTTCAAGAAATCCCACCAAAGTCGGTTAACCTCAAATTGGATGAATCCACAAGCAATGTGATACCCTTTTCTAAAGGCTAGCAATGGGAAGGAAATTCAACTCACTCTCACTTACTGCAGCAAATTGGAGTATTTCTTCTTGTATCCAAGTACAACTTAACTAATTCTCCGCAGATCCTAGACAGATTTTCTCTGTTAATATTCTTTTGAAGAGCGTCTATGGTCTACACCTCCCACCAAGGTTCCTCGCAGTCACCATGGCTGAAGTTACATGATACCAGGCATTTTTAAGCTTCTCAAATAATTGTGAAAAACTAACAATTTGCGATCAAATGTTCACCTCAATGTTAAGGGTGATAATGAATCCTGTCATTAAAGGCAATAAATGTAGCACAATCTGGATGGATGCTTCGGATTATAAAGGATTGAAGAGTGAAACAATATACATCACATGGTCTCTAGTAGACAGGTCCAAAGAGCACTGAATGACCTTCAGATGATCTACTGTGATAGATAGGTGCCTGGGTGATGCTGGACCCTGGACCCGCGTAATGCCCCTTCGTAAACGCTGNTTTTTTATAGCCGTAGGTGTGTTTCCTGTAGAACTATTAGCCTACCAAGTTTCAATGGATTCTGCTGTAAATTGACCGAGATAGCTCTATTTATATACATAATATAATATTGGGTTGAGTGTATTACGTCACCAGTCATTCATTTGCATATTTTACACATTTTTCAAACTTAAATATCTCCGGAATTAATGCAGATATTTGAAAACGGTAAACGGCGTTTTTTTCTTTCATGGAACTCTATGTGATACACCTAAAAAATTGAGGGGTAAAAATTTGATCATAGTACCACTTTAACTTTAGACATTCACGATTTATTTCTTATCTATTCACGATTCACAGCTAAGGACTTTTGCATTTCACGCCTCACGGAATACACTTCAATCGCGATTCACAGAACAGTTTTTTTATCAAATCACGATTCACAGAGCACAAAAAAACCGGATCACGGTGTCACGAAAATACCCTTGCTCCCCCTCTAGGTATGGTCCAGAAAAAAACTGTATTGAGCCACCTTAAATTGTTAAAAGAAATATTTAAATGATTTGCTTTTCATCTAGGGAAAAAAGATGCTACCAAACATGATATCAAGGATGACTTCCTCCGAGAACTTATCGCAATTTGGGTAAACTTTAATTTTAGAGACTCCTTCTTTTCCAAAAACGACTTTTCTAGCAGTATGATATGGAATAACGCATTAGTCAGAATTCCTAATAGGCCTCTTTTCTACAAGCACTGAGCCGAAGCTGGTGTACAAAATATCAAAGATCTTGGTAACGATGATTTTAAGGTCATAACTTATAGAGACTTTAGAGGGAAATATTGCTTATCTGCCTCTTTCCTTGAATTTATGGAGTGACCTCGGCCATAAGGGGCGCCATGAAGTCTTTGAAATTGAAGATGCAAGATGGACAAGGTCAGAGGTTTTCGGTGTAAAACCTAATTGCAGCAACCAAGCTGACTAAATAAGCGTATAAAATTCTAATTAAAAAATTCTACTTACCCCCAAAAGAGTCAAGAAAAATGTGTTAGGGTCTGTGACCTTGAAGTGGTGGAGGATTTGAGCTGGAAGTGTGTGTTGCAATTTTGTATTGAATTTGAACAGTATTGCATTCTTACCTCTAACTGATATTTAAGCTGCTTCAGTTCTGCAACTAAGTGCTGTTCTGTTGCGCTTTCACAAGGTGAAGCTGAGGAATTCTGCTGTATGCACTGGGGACAGGAACCCTTTTTGCCAATTGACTTGTGAAAAAAACACAGTTACAACGTGCATGTCAAACATGCCGAGTTCATTATAATAAAAGATCCTCTCTGGGTTGAAAACAATCACTACAAAATTTGTGACTAAGTTATCTTTTCAATTTTTTTCTTAAAGCTTATGAACGCGAACAGTCACAAAACGACATGGCACAACACTTAAACTTCTAAATAATCACGTACCTTTTCTGAGTAACTTATGGGGAACATTTATTGTAGATGTCTTGAATAGCTAAAATGCCTAACCTTTTGAAGTGATTCATTTGTTATCTTAAGCTCCTCTAATTCTTCTGTCAACTTGAATATTTCGTCTTCATTTGATTCCTTGTAAAAAAAAAAAAAAACATCTCAAGTCAGCTGTCTCCAAATAAGAAGCTTTGACATGACTTCACAGTGGCCACATTGGGGTTTCCATTTCATGAAGTTTCTCTCTTGGGGAATGAATTTCATCCTCACGTAAACATTTCTTGTTTTTCAGAATTTTAAGATTGCCACCAAAAAAGCAACATGGTGCAATTACATATCACTAAAAAATCTGTACATTACCTTGAGCTGTTGATAAACTGTTAATGGTATAGTGGGTATGTCACACTGAGCATCAAACAACTCTCCTTTGACTCGGCAATGCTGGTGGTATAAGCCAACAAATCATTGCTTGTTAGTTAATAGCTCATTTCCAAATTACCTTTAACCTCTTTTCTTTCATATGAAAATGAGATTTCATTCACATGTAAATTAAACTCATTTTCATATGAATGATTGTGCACCACGCCTCGTTTTGATAGAGAAGCTTAAGGTGAAGTGAAGTGAAGTGAAGTGAAAGACTTTATTTAATGAGGGTGACCCGTGACAGTAACTTAAGTTACTGATAAACTTGGGGCCCTCAGCTTAAAATAATTAGAATGCTAAAAATATATTATTTACAATAAAATGCTAAAATA